GGTTCTATATTACTCCTTGGATAAAATATAAACCCCTTTCCTAGGCATTTACAGCCTTTTACAGTCTGGCGCCAATCTACCCGATCAGGCTTATTTCATATTACTTCTCATCACATACTCTGCTTTTGCTAAACTGCCTTGCTGAGCCCCAAACTCAATATCAAAGGGGGAGATGGAGCTTGTACAGTGGCTGTTGGTAAGGTCTGGGATGAATTCCCTCCTTCTCCTTTATCTCTTACCTTCCTTGGAGGCTCAACTGCAATGCTACCTCCTACGCAAAGTCTTTCCAGGTCTCCTAGTTTTAGCACTCTCTACCTTCTTGAAGGATTAGTTCACACCTTCTATCCTGTCAGTAGGGGATCCTTGAGGGCAAAGGCTGTTCTTTGTTTTGACTTTCTATCCCTAGCTCCTTCCATACAGCAACCACTTAATAAATGCTTGCTGGACTGGGCTGGATGGCACAACAATTGGGTTAATAGTCTGAGGCCAAATGACTACAGGATTAATAGCAGTAGAGCTATCACTTTTTAAATCTGCTTTGTACAAGAAAAAAATTATTAAACATTCAGAATCAAAGATTAAAAAAAAGATCTATACTGGATTTAGAATAAGAGGTTCCAGATTCAAATCCCAGCATTGCTTTGTGAGTATGGGGGAGTTGTATAACCATGGTCAAGTCACTTCCACTTCTCCATGCCTCAATTTCTCCATCTGTAAAATGAGAGGATTGGACTAGGTAGCCTCCAAGGTCCTTTCCAGCTCGAAATCTATGGCTATTTTGCTTAAATGACTTTGCCCTTGGGAAGACATATTGTTATTGTATCTTTTTAAATCCACTGACATTTTCTAAAGGAATCCTTGAATTATTGTACTGTAACCCGAAACCATTTCCCCATCACATTTAAATAATAAACTCTCAGGGAGGAGAAAGTATTAAATTTGATATTGTGTCTAGCATCTTTTAGATAGCATTCCACAGGCAAAATGATCTTGCTTTAATTAATATTCAAAATGGCAGATCTCTATAGCCCTCTCAAAGAGGAGCAAAGAGACAAGGCATTTTATGGTGGTTTCCTGAAAGGGCTTTAACCAAGGAAGATAATGTTTTGCTCTCAGAGATATCCTTTCAAGGATTTATTTGTTTGTTTGGGCAGAGGTGGAAGCTGTGCCCTGTGGGTAAAACCTCTGATCTTTTGAGTCTATGGATTGTGACCTCTAGTTTGCCTCTTTGGAGTCTTTTTTTTTTTTAATGACTTCTGGGATCTTGGCTGATAGCTGACATTTGCATAGCTTTAAGGTTAAGCAAGATTTTAGATTCCTTATTGCAACTGATCCTCACTCCAATCCTGTGATTTAGACACTACAGCTATTCTAAAGAGTCAAGAGATGAGCTGGATGTATGAGGTATTACAATACAAAGCAGCATGCAAACACATTGTCATCATATATACTACATTCTTAAATACAGGTGGAGGGAGGGACTTGGAGTAAGAGGATGATCAAAATTGGGAGAGGTTAGTCAGGGAAAGCTTGGGAAGTTCAGTGTTTAATTTTGTTCAAATCGATTTAGCTCAACTCACCAAACATTTATGAATTGCTGACTGAATGTAAAGCACTATGTTGGGGACCAGGCCATAGGTGCAATGTAGAAAAGGGCCCTAGACTTGCTTTTTATGGGACTCAGAATTTGTTAGAGATATATAACACACATTTAGATAATCAGAACACCAAAAAACATTAAGCGCATTAGAGAGATGCCAAAGTGTTAAGTGAGATATAAAGTCTGCACCTAAATAATGGAATTTAGGCATGAAGGGGGTAAGCAGTTAATAAAAATTTTTAAAGTGCCTACTATGCGTCAGGTACATACAAAGGGACTCAAAAGGGGAAAATTCAAATAAAAGTAAAAGACAGTTCCTGCTCTCAAGAGGCTCACAGTCTTGGGGGAGACTTGGGGAATACAGCACACAACTATGTACAAATAAGCTATATTCAGGGCAATTGGGAGACAATCAACAAAGGGAAAGCACTAGAATTAAAGAGGGTCAGGAAAGGCTTCCTATAGAAGAGGAATTTTAGCGGGGACTTGAAAGAAGTCAGGAGGAAGAGATGAGGAGGGAGAGTGTTCCGAGCCTGGGTGCCAGTCTTTTAACAGCAAGGAGGTCGATGTCACTCCAGGGCAGAGTATGGGGAAGGTGGGGAAGGAGGGGAGGGAAGGGATATAGAAAGGTTACTCTTTTGCCATGGTTCAAGGGAACAAATGAAAACTAAGTCTGTGGCTATATTCACATGATATATTTAGCTTCTCTGCAGAGTGCTGTTTTAGGTATTCAAAAACTCCAGCGAGTATTCTAGACAAAGCCAAATGCTGCTGGACCACGTCAAACAAGCAAAACCCAAATATTAGTTGACTTGAGATACAAGGAGATGGGGATTGTGATCGCCACTAGTCCATTTGCTATTTTCCATTGATGGATTAAAAATGGTAACAAGGAAGAACAGGGAAGGAGTTTAGGATGGGTGAGAACGTAATATGAAATAGTACAGGGTAGGAATAAATAAGATGGATGTTTTATGGTGGTGCCTTTGAGATCAAGGAAGTAGTTTGAGACCTTTGATTTTGAAGTCTCAGGTACTGATAAGGTATCTGTCAATGCTGGCCAATCCTAGAAAATTATTGGCAGATATTGTACTTAATTGCATCTAGACTTAACCAAATACAATTTCAAGTGTCAACTTACTTAATCCTTACTTATCTGTTATTTCTCCAAAGTACTTTTATAACTTAAATCATATTAACCAAACACCTATATGTCCTTGAATTGCACATTCAATTTACTTGTACCTTTACAGTATACACTTTTCCAAAGTCCACAAAATTCTCCTTCTGGACATCATTGTAAAGAGTAACTATGAGAATGTTGTTTATCCTTGGACTGGAGTAGATGAAATGGTAAGGAATTCTGAAATGGTTACTGAGTCCAGGGTTGGGGAACGGGCAACCTCCAGGCCACATGTGGCCTTCTAGGTCCTCAAGTGCAGCCCTTTGACTGAATCCAAACTTCACAGAACAAATCCCCTTAATAAAAAAGATTTATTCTGTAAAGTTGGGAGTCAGTCAAAAGACTGCAGCCAAGGAACTAGAAGACCACATGTAGCCTTGAGGATGCAAGCTCTTCACCCATGGACAAGACGTTACCTTTTCTCTCATTTGGTGTGGCTAAATCATTGTGGTTATAACTTTGGTTTTCTCAGAAAGGACTCAGGGAAGGAATGGAATTAGATTTCTGTTCACGTTTCAGGTTCAAAGCCAGCACCAATATTAAAATAATTTCCCTAATGCATATGTTTGACCATATCACTCTCCTTGTTTCCCATTGCCAAAGGGATAAAATATAAACTACTTAGCCTAGCATTTAAAGACCCTTCACAATCTAATGCATTTTTCCAGACATTGCCACTCTTCTCCATGATGGTTCTTCATTTCACTCATCACTCTTCACACTTTCCATTTTTTCTCTCCTTGGAACAAGAGAAATTCTGATTTAACTTCTAACCACAATCCACATCACAAATCCACAATCCTTACTAACCTCAAATTTAGGACACCTGAAGCCCATGGAAACCTGTTGCCAAGGAATAAAAATTCAATAATTTATGTCCTCTTCTTCTCATATATGTTTCCTAGTTCATTCTTTGGGAAGGACGATGAATTTTAAGTGGGAAAGAATTCTTGCCAAAATAACAAATTCCAAAAGAACTTTCAAAGGCTAATTGTATATCTGAAAGCAGAGAGGAGCTGCATCTGTTCCATTGCATCATCCAATCTCATCATGAAAGAGGAACATTTTTAATGTTGGAAAGCTACATTCTGCCTTTGTAATCCCTGACAATGGAATCTTTTTGCAATTAGACCAAAGTGGACAATATGCAGTGGTGGACCTGGTTGGGATTGCATCAAATTTCGGACTGTTTGCTATTTAAGACTAATAATCGTGTCAGTTATAGATAACTTTTAATTATCCTTCTATATCACAAATGATTGAAAATGGTGTTTCATATTTCTATATAATTTCATGAGATTTCTAAACTAAAAAGAAAATGTATATGTACTTACATATGAATAAGTGACTGATATTGGTTTTCTGATGTATTTTCTACAAAACTGTCTAGGTTTTAAATGAAAAGAACATAAGCTACCAAATAAGCATGTCAGTTTTGTGGTTGCCTCCGCAGTGAAGGATGAAACAGGTGAAAGAACACAGGATTTTAAACTAGATTCAAACCTAGGCTCTGCTCTTATACGTATAACCTTGGGCAGATCATTAACATTTCGGAGCATACCTTTCATTATTTGTAAAATGAGTGTTTTCCAGATGACTTTTAAGTTCCTTCACACTCTAAGTTTATGGTTCTGAACTATTCAAATATTATAGCTACCTTGCTAGCATTCACATGCTAATGACATCATCTTACCCTGTAATCTGAAATTGGTATTGTCTCTGTTTTATAAATGGGAATGTGTGAGAGATGAATACCTTTCCAAAAGTCACTTAGGAAGTCAGTTATGATGGTAAGTTTCAAATATTCCTATGTTCTTATGTTCCTATTTCTTGATTACATTTCTTCCAAGTTGTCTTACTTATGCTAATGAGCAGACTAGCAAATAAAACTCAATTTTATTGATATCATATATTGCTTACTGTTTCAATGGGTCAAGGATGGGCAAGAGGGAGAGAAAAGAATTGGGCATTTAAAAATTATCAGAAATAACGTTAACATTCTATGTATATGTAAGCTATTTGTATAATTCATAGGCCATCTAGTGACCAGAAAGACATAACTGGGTTCAAAAGTTTAAGGAAATGGCCGACACTTCCTTCTCATTTTGAGTCCTGATTTCCCCACAACTCATGATTTAAAAAAAAAAAGTCAAGGTCATTACTGTTCACTTGCTGAGAAATAATAACACTCATGTTTCCTGTTGATGTAATTTCCAGGCCATTCCAGCAACTGTAATTCCCTGGCTGCAAGAAAAAGGGCGTGCTGCAACAACAGATTAGGAGTAAGTATAAGGGAACAGAAGTGATTCCAATAGTTATTGCTAGAGCTTCATAAATGAAAATATACTATGATTTTTTTTGGGGGGGTGAGGCAATTGGGGTTAAGTGACTTGCCCAGGGTCACACAGCCAGTGAGAGTGTTATATGTCTGAGGTCGGATGACTCCAGGGCCAGTGCCCTACCCACTGCACCACCTAGCTTCCCCCTACTATGATTTTTTAAAGAAGTTTTTTCCCCTTCCTCATAAACATTTAGATGTTCCTCAGGATTTAGTTTCGCTAATCCTAAAGTTTCAAAATTAAAGGTGGTTTAACATGTTTGAGTGTGTGAGTCATTTAGGTAAGGCCATTTTTCATTTGATTTTATTGCAATTTCTTAAGTTTTGCATTCATGTTTTGAGATGTATATTAAAGTATACATGTTGGGTTCTATGAAAGATGTCAGTTTAAAAATTCTGTATCCCCCTGCCAGATACAAAGGACAGTCAAAAAAGGGCAAAGAATAATGAAAGTCAAACTACAGATGTGGGGAAAAACTGTCAGTTCACATAAAGTCAGAACAATAAACAGAGTAACTTGAATTGTATTACTGACTCTCTTTGATCTAGTTAAGATCAGAGATCTAAGGGCCTCCTTACAAGGTAAACCCCAGTGAGAACAACTAAACATTCCTCCCCAAGGAGGAGGATGGGAGACATAGCATGGCGTCTGAATGTAAATATCCCTGGCTGATCGGGGCTGAGGCTTTAACTACGTGATAATTAACTTAAATAGATGGAATTATATTTTAATCAGTGAGAATTTTTTTAAGAAGTTTGGTCTGGTTATTTCATATTTTACTTATTATAATTCATAGCTTTTGCTTATAAAATTAGAATGCAGAAAGTGATTTGTCTGCATATGTTCAGTTGTTTCAGTCACGTCCAGCTCATTACGACCCTATTTGAGGTTTTCTTGGCAGAACTACTGGAATGGTTTTGCCATTTCCTTCTCCAGCTCATTTTACAGATGAAGAAACTGAGGCAAAGAGGGTGAAGTGTCTTGTGCAGGGTCACACGGCTAGTAAGTGTCTGAGGCCATTTGAATTCATGAAGATGAGTATTCTTGACTCCAGGCCCTACACTCTATCCACTAAGCTACTTAGCTGCCCGGTCTACATAGTCACTTTATATAATCCTGACTATTGAGCCAAGGCTATTAAACATTTAACACTTTTTTAACTTGGTGGAAACAACCTGAGGGCTGAGGATAGTCCATTTTAGGGGCAGCTAGGTTGCGCAGTGGATAGAGCACTGGCCCTGGAGTCAGGAGGACCTGAGTTCAAATCTGGCCTCAGACACATAACACTCACTAGCTGTGACTCTGAGCAAGTCACTTAACCAACCCCAATTGCCTCACCAAAAAGAAAAAAAAAAGCCACTTAAGAATGAAAAAGAACAGACCAAATGACATCCACACATTCGGTGAGTGCCTCCAAAATTAGATGAGCTGTTCACCTAAAATCAAATCAACCACAAGAAGTCTTAAAGCAAACATGTGTTTCAATCAAAAAGGCTAAGGAGTCTTGTTCTCAGACACCAACTGTGCACTCATAAACTACAGCCTGGATACATGTGTTCCAGGGCCCTTCCCTAAAAACATGAGGCCAATGAATGCAAAAGCACTGATTTAACACTTACAACACACAAAGCACTGTGTTTTGGATAAAATTAGAAAATTAAGACAGTCCCTGCTCTCGAGATGCTCGTGTTCTAAGGGGTAATGGGGAGACAAACACATGTAGGTTTTCAGCTGCCAGTCATATGGAAAGATCCCATGGTGCTTAGGGTACAGCGTGGAAGTCAATGGTAATACATCTTTCATGTCATTTCTATGGATAATCATCCATTTCTGATGTTCGACCATTTGACAGTGCTTTGCAAGGCTTTGGTGGGCAAAACTTTCCTTTAAAAAAATTAAAAAAAAAATTTTTGTTAGGCATTGGGGTTAAGTGACTTGCCCAGGGTCACACAGCTAGTTAAGTGTCAAGTGTCTGAGGCCAAATTTGAACTCAGGTCCTTCTGATTCCAAGGCTGGAGCTCTAGCCACTGCGCCACCTAGCTGCCCCAACATTGATATTTTAAAAAAAAATCAGCACCTTAGCAAGATACTTTTTCCTAAATACATGTATAAATATAATTTTTAAATGGGGAAAAATCACTATAAAATTATATATAAGCAAACCTACTTGGACTTAGTATTGGGAAAAAGTGGAAAGATAAGGAATATCTCATGATGGAATCACTTTTTGGAATACTGTTCATTTTTCCTAGTTTTCTAAATTCATTCCATGTGGAAGGAATATGCAGTGAGGCAAGAAAGTATAGTACATGTTCAGGGAAAAAGTCAGAAGAAGAAAAGTAGTGGGAGATTGAAAAAGTGGGTTGGGAACAGATCAAGAAGTATTTGAACACAGGCATTCACGGCTACTGGAGACCCAGAAAAGAAAGTTCTTGACACCAAAGTCCTCAGTACTGTCAGATGGTTCAAAATCAGAAAACAGATGTGATTTTACCAGTGTAAATGACATTAAAGATGCATTCCCATCCGCTGTGCTGTTACACCCAAAAAGTCATTTCCATATGACTTCTGGCTGAAATTTCTTGTGTGTTACTTCCCTCATTAGAACGTGAGCTCCTGGAGAGCAGGGAATGCCTGTTTTCCCATTTGTATCTCCAATGCAGTGTACATCTTGTTTAATATATGCTTTTTCATTCATTCATTAGGCTAAGAAGTTTAGGCTTTTTCATTCATTCATTAGGCTAAGAAGTTTAGGCTATTTCATAGGAAATGGAAAGTCATGTAAGACTTCCGAGTTGTGTTACAGGGGCAGTGCATAAGATCATGGCACTGCAGAGACCATTGCAACAATAGAGGTAAGGGGCAATGAAAGCTTGAATTCAGTTATTAGCAGTACGTTCCCACCTGCACAGCCTGGCTGATCACAATATCGATTGTTCATCCACAACTCTGGAGGACAATTTTCCTTTTGCAGTTAGAGGGGCCTATATTATATAATGTGATACATTTAGCCAATCCCAAGGGCACATCCATTGGAAATCATGTGGGTTCAGCTTTATAATTTTAATTTTTTCCCACATAACATATATTTCTTACAAGATAAATATCACCAGAGTTTTATTTTGCTTCTATAAATTGGCATACAATTAAAAAGTGATATACATCAAGAACCCATTTAAAGTATATAACAACTCACAGAACTCATACTGATGGCAAAACATAAGGTTTTTGATAGTCTTCTTTTGGCAGTTACTAGTCGTAGTCTATGTGAGAACACTATTTTGTCTAGTGTCAGTCTAGTATCTATTGTCTAGATTGCTACTGGGTAGCAATAACAACACAGTGATAATACCACTAGCTGGCATTCATATAAAGCCCTAAGGATTGCAAAGATCTCTACTTCCCTCATTTTATCCTCACAACCACCTTTTGGGGCAGGTGCTATTATTTCCACTTAAACAAATGAGAAGACTGGAGATGAGAAGGGTTAACCGACTTACCAAGGGGCACAGCTAGCATATGACTGAGGACACATTTCAACTCGGGTCTTCCCGCCTCTCTTACCCAGCTCTTACCCACTGTGCCACCTACCTGCCCAGCGTACTATTCAAAATGGCTGCAATCAGTAGCCGAGCCCTGAGCAAAACCCATCCTTTGTCTAGTGGCTGGCACAGGTTTGCATAGCAGCAGATGCTTGAGGTATGGTCTGCGACGGCCCTGTGGGTCACAGGAAGTTTAGAGCATTGGTTGTTGCTTGGTTGCTTTTTTCAAAAAGCTATCTGACCTCAAGACCTGCAGTCATTAAACCAGGCCTTAGCAGGCCTGCAACAAGTTCATCAACGATTCCCAAGATGTAGCTGTTGATGTTTGCAGGTGGAAGTCCTAGATATTGTTTCAGACTACGGAAACTATAACTTCTAAGATGAATAAACTACAAATGTGGGACTTTCTCCCCCTCTTCCCCCAGATGATTCTGTCATCTTTCTTGAGTGTGGTAACTATTGCTGGTGCTCTGTACTGTATTTTGGTGTCTATACTGGCTCTTTCTGAAGGACCTCTCATTTGCAACTATGATGGCAACAGCACAGTCAACTGTGAATTTTCAATGAAAAACTTAAGGTGAGTGGCCAAAATTTAATCCGCTTGTTAACTGTTCCTTTATTAGTAGTCATTAATTTCCCTTATCTTAAAGCAAAATGGATTTAGAATAGTGTGGCAATAAATCTGGTGGTGCTTTTCTTGATCAAAGTACTGACACAGAGACAGAGATCTGATGTAATAAATGGCACACAAACCTGATACAGGAAAAGGGATCAATGTGTTCAGAATGCAATGTCTGAAAGGACATGATGAATCATGGTGGTTCCTCCCAGCCACAGCTGTATTTCTTCATATCTTTTTTTAGCAGACCTGTGATATCAATGGTGTAAGGAATTCTCAGAGAGGAAATTTCTTCCACCAATCCAAATTTGCAAATACTATATTACTTAAGTCTCAAGAGTTTTCTGGAGCATAGCGAAATCAAATGACTTACCCAGTGTCACACTGCCAGTATATTAATTAGACTTGGGACTGGAACCCAGAGCTTCCTGACCTTGAGGCTGATTCTCTATCCACTACCAGGGATTTTTGAAACTTTTCCCACCATGATGACCTCTTGTTGCATTTTGGCAGAGTTCCTTGCTGTCATGTAGCCTGAGGTCACGTACAATGCATAGTAAGCATGCTTTGCGTTCAGAACCAAGGCTGCAGTGAAGTTGCCCAATGCGACACCGGCAAGTGCCACCAGAAACACGTGGGATTAATTCATTATGCATTTGATTTTTAATTAATCTCTGGTTATTGCATGTTGAGGACCTTTTTACTGCGGCCACATTTTTTGCAACCCCATATGGGGTTGCAATCCACAGTTTAAAAAGCACTATGCTAGGTCATCACGTCTGTGACAATATTTGTGGATGTCAAAAATGCACAAATCTTTATTCCAGTCTGGCACATGAGCTCATGCCTGCAAGCCAAGCATAATCCTGGTTAACCAAGAGTAAATAATATTGATCTTTATCTGTAGGCATACCTTGGAGATATTGTGGGTTCGGTCCCATACCACCTTAACAAAGCAAATACTACAATAAAGCAAGTCACACCAACTTTTTGGTTTCTCAGTGCACACAAAAATTACATTTACCTTATGCTGTAGTCTATTAAGTATGCAATAGTATCATGTCTCAAAAACCCTATATTCAAAAAATAACCCCAACAACCCTTTATTGCTAAAAAATGCTACCATCACCTAAGGCTTCAGTGAATCGCAATATTTTTGCTGATGGAGGGTCTTGCCTTCATGTTGATGGCTGCTGTCTGATCAGGATAGTGGTTGCTTAAGGTTGGGATGGCTGTGGCAGTTTCTTAAAATAAGACAACAATGAAGTTTTCCCACATGTATTGACTCTTTCACCCGAACACTTAGAAGCCACTGTAGGGTTATTAGTTAATCTAATTTCAATATTGTTGCATCCCAGGGAATAGAGAGGCCTGAGAAAAGGGAGAGTGATGGGAGAAGAGCTGGTTGGTGGAGCTGTTAGAAAACACACATTTGTTAAGTTCACTGCCTGGTCTGCAGCACCCCAAAACAAATACAATAGTAACGTCAAAGATCACTGATCACAGATCACCACAACAGATATAATACTAATGAAAAAGTCTGAATACAGTAAGGATCACCAAAATGTGATGGAGACACAATGTAGCACATGCTGTTGGAAAAATGGAGCCAATGGACTTGCTCAAATACAGGGCTGCCATAAACCTTCAATCTGTAAAGTGCAATAAAGCGAAGCACAATAAAACAAGGTGTGCCTTCATTTTACTACCTAATATGCTTAGCTTAGAAGGTGGGCAGAATTTACTTCTCTGTTTGCTGGTAATCAAGCTACTGTTGATACAATTTCTTTCAAAATTATTGCTGCTTTCATATATTAAAAATAAAACGATACTCCTCTAACAATACTAGAAGTTTTTGGTCACTTACACTGTGGATAAAAGGAAATATCTGAATAAAAGCAAACATTTTTCTTGAACAATCTTAAGTCTATAGATGAGAGTCAACAGTAATGCATACTTCTAGTCCCACCTGGGTAACCTATCAATAATCATCATGTATACATCGCTGATCAGTGGACTACTGGTGAAGAAGCCCTATTTCATAGACTGAGTGTGCTGTATGGCAGCCTGCTGGGGTTGAAAGTCAGCTGCAGGAATGCAGAATAGGAGATTTTAAGTAAACACAGACCTTCTTCCTCTAACAACAACAGTAATGTTTTCAGGCTAAAAGCTTCTGATCTGTCACAATTCTGAGTGTAGCCATGTTTAAGTTAAAAAGAAAACCATTTTAACCAAACCCATTTTAAAATGGCTTTTAACGAAAAAGGCATGAGTCTTTGAATCCTGTTCAAGAGGGAAAGGATAGTGATGCAACTTTGCACAAAATCAGCTGTACTAACCTTGGGTTATACAGATGTGACCAAAGAATACAAAGTTATCACCCACAATTTATCAGGTTCTGTACATAGTACATCAAAGTCCAATCTGCCTTATGTTTCATATCCATTGTTATTTTCTGGACTTATCTGATATTTCTTTTTTTTTTTCTTTCCTCAGTAACATTCATGATCAATTGAATCACCCATTCAAACTGCAGTGGTTTTACAGTACCTGTGTGCCTGATCTCTCCAACAATTCTGGCCTCAATTATGGTACAACAATTTCTCAGAAAACAAACACCGTTAGCTCTGAAGAAAACAAGCATAAGATTATTCACCTTTCAGTATTTATTGGTTTACTTTTGGTTGGGATTCTTGAGATCTTATTCAGTGTCAGTCAGATAGTGATTGGATTGTTGGGAGGTCTCTGTGGAGTTTCTAAGCGGAGAAGTAGACAGACATGGCGATAACATGGAAGCAAGGACAGTCTCTCTCTCTCAAGAGATTTCCATTTTAAAGTGGCAATATAATCCTTCAGATATCAGTCAACCACATGAAACTGATGTAAATGTCATTTTTAAGTCATATTTTGTTTCATTTTCAAAGCTTTCAAAAAATGGTTTCTCTATGTGGTCATTGTTTAAAGACAAGAAATGCAGTATACTTATTGAACAAAATAAACTAGAATTTTAGTTTTTAAAATGTTCTGCCTGGAACCAGAAGAACATTGTATACAGTAACAGCAATACTGTATGATGATGTACTATGAATAACTTATTCTTAGCAATACAATGATCCAAGAAAATTCTGTAGGATTTATGATGAGAAGTGTTGTCCCATCTCCAGAGAAAGAACTAGCAGAGCCTGAATGCTAATCAAAGATACTTTTTCTTTTTTTTTTTGTGTCTGTTTTCTTTCACAGAATGACTTACATGGAAATGTATTTTGTGTGATTACACATGTATAACCCATGTCAAATTGCTTGCCTTCTCAATGAAGGGGAGAGGGGAGGGAGGGAGAGTTTGGAACTCAAAATTTGAAAAAAAATGTTAAAATTGTTTTTACGTGTAACTGGAAAAAAATATTAAATGCGGGAAAAAATGTTCTGTCTGAATACAGTGTAAGGTCTTATAAAAACTGATTACTTACAGATATTCCCTATGTTATGGCTATAATAAAACAGCATCATTAAGATCTGTAGATCTATTCTTTTTTTAATAAAGCCATTTACCACCTTGAAATTTTAACTTCTTGAAAAAAATTGTAGCACTTTTTATTGCGGTCATGTAATTGAAATACTTATTCAGTAGCTAGTTAAGTTTATGAATCACTAACCTTGATTTTAATTGGGCAATTTTAACATAGATTTTGTTGCCAGAGCTTTTCTCAATGTCCTGTTAATACTATAAAGGGCTAGAGAGCCTACAAGTCTCTTTAGGGACCCAGTAAGGGGAAATGGAGTTTCATCTTTGCCTCAGAGACTCACAGATGACAACATAAAAAGCATTCAAAGACATCTATCTGTTCAATTGAGGTACCTAGCAAGAGAATCGTAGTTTAAGGAATACAAAATCACTGGTAACAATCCTGTTACCAAGTCTCTGCTTCACCAGAGGCTTCTCACTTTTTCCAAGGTGTGTGCCCCTTTTAGCTTCAAGAGTAACTCCATCCTGAGGGCCAATTCTACTCTTCCAAAAAAAGGATACATTTTTTTTTCCTGATATTTCCCATGGTAGTTCTTAGCCAAAAGGTCATTTTTCAAAGCAAATAAAAATTATCCATTTTAAAAGATAAAGAGAATATCTTTGTAGTCTGTTTGATGTTTAAGAAGATAAATTTAATAATTAGTTTATAGTCATTTCTGTACATATCCTGAAACTTTATGCTTATACTCCATGTTCATTCCCTTCTCAATGCCATGGTTCATAATGCTATGTCTCTTCCCTATCTAAATCCTACCCATCCTTCAAGGCCATCTCGACTTTATTTCACACAGTCTCATTCTTCTTCTGTTTTTCCAAAGATCATTTGTTCTGTATGAATTGTGCCACACATTTTGGCACAAAATTCTGTCTTATTACTATTACCTTAGTAATTGTATGTATGTCTAACTAGACTTTGTGTTGACCTTTTCTAACCATGTATATCTAATTAGACTGTCAGTTCCTTGAGGACAAAGCTCATGTCACTTTTTTTGTACCTTCCAGAATACCTGGGCACTTAGTACCTAATACATTCTTGTTAACCTAAATATCACATATAAGACCATTCAGCTTACCTTTCTATTTAATGCCCATCAAAATGGTTCCATTTCAATGCCAAAGACACCCAAGAAAGAAAGGTGAAAGACAGGAGGGGATTGCTTTATTAGGGAAAAAAAGTTATCCTAAAAATATACTCTCTATGAAATCATTCTTCAAAACAGAACTTTACAGAACCTTCTTCCTGTGTATAAATTAACAAAAATCAGCATCTACCAATATAAGTGGAAAAGTTTTAAAAGCATACACCTGAAAACGTGTGTGTGTGTGTGTGTGTGTGTGTGTATACATAAGTTATAGTTGTAAACATTACTGACTGCTATGGATTACAATACCAACAACTTACAGGGACTGTTAGATTCTATGTATCACTAAGATTTCTCCCCTTTTTTCCTTCTCATTTTAGATAGGTCACTGAAGCAAAAATAGGATGTTAAGTTTTCATTGTCTAATATTAGTGCAGTGGTAAATATGGGAAAAGCCTAGCAAATAATTTTTAAAAGGGCTACCTGGTGCACTGGAGAGAATGTGTGGCCCACAGCCAGAAGATGCATCTTTGTGAGTTCAAATCTGGCTTCAGACACTTACTAGCTGTGCAACCCTAGACAAGTCACTTAACTTGGTTTGCCTCAGTTTTCTCATGTGTAAAATGAGTTAGCGAAGGAAATGGCAAACCATTCCAGTATCTTTGCTAAGAAAATCCCAAATGGGGTCACGAAGAGTAGGATGGCTGAAAAAGACTGAACACCACCACCACCCTTTAGCCCTTGAATTTCATGACTATGAAATCATTTTCTCACACTCAGCCTTTTATTCTGTTTGGAGGACTTAGAATTCCAATAGTTTCCACTGTGAGGCTTGCCCAGTTGAACCATCAATCAAACAACTAATTTGTATTCTGAGATTACAGATGTGGCTTACTCCATCCTATTTGATGAGAAGCAGCAGTGACTTTTCCTGGTACCACCAGAGCCTAGTACAGAACACATATGATACAAAGAGGGTGCTGCACAAGAGCATACTAGCTAGTAAATATGACAAGAGCAAATGCTTGGGGAATCCTAACTGGCAGAGTCCAGCATAGCACATGAGACAGCTCAGAATGAGGAGAATGAAGTTCAGGCCCCAGTGTTCTCAAGTCTTGCCTTCAACCTACTAGCTTCAAGTTCTTTACTATAAATGATATTAAGAATGGGCACAAGTAGAAGCCTGAGATACATAATAAGAGAGGCCCACTTTCACACTAATTGAATAATTACTACCACTCTTAATTCTTTTTTTTTTGTTTTTTTGGCTAGGCAATGGGGTTAAGTGACTTGTCCAGAGTCACACAGCTAGTGTTATGTGTCTGAGGTCGGATTTGAACTCAGGTCCTCCTGAATCCAGGGCCGGTGCTCTATCCACTGCACCACCTAGCTGCCCCTCTTCAGTAATTCTTAAGAGTACTTCCAGAGGAAGAGAGAATGATCTTCCACTGAAATGAATTATTTACATTCCAAATAATGAGACACAAGTCTTTAGGATCAATACTCCTATGCCAGCCCTCTTCCTTTTGGCTTAGCTGGCTACAGTGCATCAAAATACTATTTGTACTTAGAAGTTTCTTTTTTTTTTTTTAATTGACAAAAAGCCCAGCAGCACGTGCAATTACTTTTTGTTGCAGACCCAACTTGAAGTTGGGCTAGTTAAGTACATGAGGTTAGTTGATACTCAAAGGCAAGTGCCTCAACACTTAAAGTTCCCTGGTCCTCATCAGAGTTTCCATGGACTAGCTCATCCCAAACTCACTGCCTGGAAGGAGGACACTTAGCATGTCAGGAGGGAGCTTCTTTTGTTGGGCTCTAGTACACTGGATATTTGAGGATATGGGGATTACATCAGTCTCTGAATTAAAAAAGAAAAAAGAACTGTAGGGTGAGTATTCTCATAACTGAAGACTCCCAGGAACAGGTTTCATTGGTGTTCTGCACTCTGTGAGATTAACGATCCTGGGGCCATACTCTACAATGGAAGGAAGATACAAAAACAAGAGACTTCTTAATGTAAGATGCTTTATAGACATAAAAACAAGAAAACTACTTATTATGCTATTGTCACCCTCACCTACTGGTCTGAAGATTCTAAAAGAAAGAAAAAAAAGTACACAGACTTCCATCCAGAGACTCAGAAGACATGATTTGGCATCATATATACTACATATACATTCACAGTAAAAATGTGAAGAAATAAAAAGTTTTCAAAAGACAAACATTGCTTTAGTTGACAGTTTATTAAATATACTACATTGGTACCTTTTCCGTAATCTTTTAAATCACTCACACATGGACTTGCTTAAAAATGTGTTTCATAGAAAAACATCTGCAAAATTAAGACTAAAATAAGAAAATACATATCACACACATCCCTGGATAATCTGCTGAAATATTAGCAAGAATTCCTTTAATTTATTCTGTACATGTGCTTAATGAAGATACTTGTGAAATATGTTGACTTAGTTCTTTTGAATCTGGCACCAGGCTGCAACGTTCAGTGTTCATGTCAGCTAAAGTAGGAAGCTGATGCAAAACTGTCTAATCACACATGATTTCATGGAACAGTGTTTCAAACACAGGACAAAAACAGACACTACTCTTTTTTACAGATACTTTTGCAAATCTATTTTATAAGCCCTCTCTACTACCCAGAGAATTAGTGCAATCGTTCCCATGTAGGCAAGAGAAGCAAATTCCTTCAAAAACAAATTTAGGCCTATTTACAAAACATGCAAAGGGAGGTCATTTTAAGTAGGTGTTACTGCAAATATGATTAAAAAGAAATACAACCAAACAATAGCAGTCCCTTCAGTTCTGTTCTAGGTCCTTTGCTCTTTCCATAAAGAAATACATTTTCAGTGCATGGATTATCAAACGGCATACAATGCAGAGACAGAAACAGAGAAGTTTGCAAATGCTTTATATTTCCAGCTGTTACGACAAGTACGTTAGAAAGCTGAGGTTACCTCTAGCGGCGAAACCAAAGCCAGCTATTAAGCAGCCAGAAAGCTACGGTAATGGAATACATGACCATCTCTCTTTTTGCACGTTCTTTGTTTTCTTCTTCCAGAAGCTGGAGACGTCGATTAAGTTTGATTATCTAATTAAGAAAAAATCCCCAAAGCATGTTAGTGCCCGAAACATCTTAGCTGTTTTACACAGTGGTATAATGAAGATGCCTTAAAAAATGTCACAAAAGCTAAATAGATTTATTCTATGAATATTTACTATAGTGACATTTCCTAAATAAAACCAAACCAAACCTATTTTAAAAAAAAATCCCCAAAAGTCACTCCATTACTACCTGCCAAACTCTCTTGGACGAGATGCTTTGAAACGTACCTTCTAACTCTAAAATTCCATCATTCTTTGAACCTTTTTCCCTCTACTCTGCTTGCCTAATGTCCTATTATTTGCTTCTTATTGGGTAGCTTACGGAATGGTTGCAA